GAAGTTTTTATTCAGTAAATCCTTTGTAGGCCGGACAAGTTATGAAATGTTTAAGCTGTGCTCATATTTCACAGACTTTGTAAATTGTTTTGTAGCAGCCTGGCTGAAGCAATAAGTAATGTTCCTGTGTAAATTTGTGCCAGTAGGGGGTCTGAAATTCAAGCCAGACATTTGCAGAGAGCAGTTTGGCTTCAGTTTTGTAGAATGAAATGCTCTTTAGATACAGTGGATTTCTTGAGTATAAGTGGCATATTCTTTAAACATCTGTATTTGTCTGTATTATGCTGAAACTGTAGAAATATTTTGTATACAGGAAAGCTGTTGCATGTGTGGGGTCTAAAAGCCTTCACTCTTCCGGTGCTCACAGAAAGGATAAAGATGTCACACCTATAAAAACTGGTGTTATGAGATGGACAGAATGGGGATGGTGACACTCAGCAGTGGTAGGCCCTTTCCAGCCACCTTCCTGAGTCTGGCTTAGACTCTGAGGGTGATTGCAGTGACCAAAAAGAGTTGATTGGCCCCTTCCCTTCTCCTCCCCTGAAAAGTGAAGTATTATTTTTCAGCACTTTGGTTTTTTGCTCGAAAATGGGAGTCATAGATGTTTTCAGGACAGTTATAAGGGATTCGCCTTTGAAATATGCATGAAGAAAAGGAATTGCCAGTGTAGATTGACAATATGTTCTTAAGCTTCTCCGTAGGTTGTACTGTGTGGGGTTTTATAACTGTTAAAGGGACTTGGGATTTTAGTATGCCCTAGAGAAAGTGTTCAATAAAACTAGAAAGGGCATGGGCATGTTTTGCCAGCAGCTGTTAGGCAGTAGTAGTTCCTGGTAATTATGCTAATAAGTGGTAGTAAAAATCCTAGGACTCTTCAGTTTTGGTGGCTAAGCATTTCTGAAAGCACCATTTTATCTAAGATGTCAGTTTATATCGTTAATTTGATGGGAATTTTAGTATTACTCCCAAAGTATTTTCTATTCTATGTTTTTGCAGTCCTATTGTATTTTGTCCCTGCCACAGCTTGTGTATCTATTCTCAAAGTTAATGTAAAATTCTTCACACTACAGTAAACATTTTTGTTTTCCACATTTCGAGTCTGTGCAAGCTAAGTGTATTTCAAGTGCTAAGAACTGAATCTTCTCCTGGAGCAAGTTTAGTCTTTAAATATGCACTTCCAGTCAAAGACTGCAGCCTGGTGTCACTCTTTAGTAAATTTCCTGTCATCTTGCCAGTTCTGACTGGAAACTGAAACACCCTGCACTTGGGCAATGAATTAATTTTATGTTTAGCAGGATATAAAAATAGTTGTGTGTGCTGCCTTGCATGTGTCCTGATAGGGTTCAGCTCCCAGCAGGGTAAAACCATTGATCAGGAACTATAAAAGGGTGTGGAACCCACCATACCCTTACTTTTACACCATGCTTCTGCAAGATTCGCTTAAAGATCTTGCCACAGCCTTCTTCCTTTGGTGAGCCCTGGACTTGGCAGGTAAATCACCCTTCAAACGTGCAAGCAAACAGGCAGAACTGTGTGTCTAATAAATTAATGGAAAACTAATTTTATTTTAAACTTCATAAAAGCCATAATTATAAATACGACAAACTTAAATGAACATACATCACTATAGAGTACAGGCAAAGGAACAAGCTTTCTCCAGTTACTTTTCTGTTGGAGCTCTTTCTTTATGCATTCTGAAGTGTAACATGATGGTGGCTGCCTTCATGGATATAAAAATAAGCCTCTGGTGTATCAAAGTGTATGTGATCACTTCAGCTGCCCTGAAGTGAGAATGTATAAAGTAAGTGTTAACCTAGGAATTCTACTTCTCTTTGGTATTATCAAACAAACAATATAAATGTCCTTTTGACTAAGCAATGAAAACCTCTACTATATGTACACAAACTTAATTCTAAATAGCTGGGTGTTCAAACACTGCATAGATTGTGTGGTCAACTGCATAATTACTATACAAAATAGTTACATGAAACTTGCATCAGGAAACTAGAACTGACTCTGAGACTCATAGGGCAGATGGGATAGAAGCTGTTGATACCATTCATCCATGCTACTACACCTCTCACTGAGTCTTTGAGGACTGATGGACCGGATTAACCAAGGATTAACCTGTGTCTTCCTAATGAAACAAACTGGGGGAAGTGTGTGTCACTGGGGTGTCTCACCCTGAGCTATAAACAGCAGCATTATGGGGTCTTGTATAGAGCTCTAAAGTAGGATTTAAAAAAAAAAAAAAAGCAAGCCTTTGCAGTGCATAAGTAAGGAGAATGCCAAAACTTCTGAAGAGGCTATCTCCAGTTATCCCTCTGCATTGCTGATTGATAGAGAATTAAAAATAATTTCTTTGTAGTAGTCTTCCCTTAGTGAATCGAAAGTGTAAATCCTCTTAAAGCCCCTTACAGTAGTAACTGGCTTTCACTTTATCAGTTACCCCCTTGTTCTGTAGCTCAGGCAGTAGTTCAGACTTGTACAGTGTGTGACAAAGAACTCAGGAGTGCAGGATACTTGTTGGTATATTTTATGAGGCTTTGTATTTTAACGTTTAAAGGCTTGAACTGCGTGTTTACTGGCAGAGAAGACATAAGGGTCAAGAGGTACATGACTGTCTAACTGGAAATAAAGTAACATGACCAAGGTACCTTTGTTACAGTCTGAGCTGTTGTGCAGCTATTTGAATTTTTACACATGCAGGCCTTATTCCTTTCTAAAAGTCTTGCTATGTAACATTTTCATGCTTTCATCAGCATCTAATATTCTCTGTCATATGGATCAAAAATTGCTAAATGTTGTAGGGGAAAGAAAAGCTTAACCTAGATACTGGCTTGAGGCTGTGTTAAAATCTAAGGATCAGTTCACTTTCCAATATTTTTTCCAGATCTATTTGTGGAAAAAAAATAGAAGTATGTAAAGTGCTTACATGAACACTTTTTTTCTACGAAAAAAAGGCAAGAAAGTTTTATTGTAAAATTAATTTGCCACAACCAGAATCTATGGACTAGAGTGTCCTGTTCTACATCTGAAAGGAAATGTACAGTGATGGTATTCTAGCAGCCTATGTAGGTACAATATTTGAATAGAACTTATGTTATAAAGGACACTGATACTAGGCTTAAATCCTGTGCAGTTATGGGGATAAGCCCAATCCACGAACTGTACTGTACATGTAAGAACTGTTAGTGTAGCCTGGTGGGGACAGGATCCTTTGTCCTTAATGCCTTTGGCATTAAGAAAGTGAGTACATTCCTTGGTTTTAGTTTAGCACAGTATGGAAGCTGAGCCTTATGCTTGTTTCATCTAGCATAAGCTTTGGCACTAGCTTGTGCTTGGGGAGTGGGGGGAGAGGGGAAGAAAAACCCCTTCCTGCAGAGTAGAAACCAACTACAAGAGACAAACAACAGATTTTACTGTAGGCAGGTCTACCAGCTTGATCTCAGACAGCGAGGCTGTGCACGAACTTAGTACTGAAAGCAGGCAGTTCTGGCCTTTTGTACTGTCAAAAAGATACTCAGTTGAGACTTCCTAACTACCTCTAACTTCATAGGTGATAAAATATATGCAGGTCTCCATTGCCACTATGGTTTAGCCTGAGCTAAAAACTTACTTAACACACATTTGTAGGGAAAATGTGAGTTGATGAAATTTTAATTTTGTAGGGATGAAGCAGTCCTTGGCACTTACTCTAAAGGTCAAGGATAACCACAAAGAACCTAATCTGATTTTTGCTCAGCTTGTGCCCATGCTGTTCCCTCTGTTGATTTGTTGCAATAATCGTCAGAAACTTCCCTGCAAAAGAAGGTAAGTCAGTCACACTGTGACAAATGTGTCACAAATTTCCTAGCCCAGATGGTCTCAGAGAACTGCAGTCAGAAGGGCATGTGTTTTCAATGTCCTTTTAAAGCTAGACATTTGTTAAGCAGCTGTCTGATGAAGGAAATGAAACAAAAGGATCTTGTACTTTCTGGAGAGGGCTAATAGCAGACTTCTCTGGGAACAATTTTAGCCCACAGATAATATTTCTGGTGCTCCTGTAGCATGTGTGCTTAATTTCCCAATGACCAAATAGCACCTGTGCTCTAAAATAAGATTTAAATGCTACCTTTTTGCTTGGAAAACTGCTAAACCAACCTGAATGACAGGGAACGTCCTATGGCTGTTTTAAAAACACCTTCTCCCCCAACTGTCAAATATAATGGAATTTTAAGTCTGCCATTTGTAAAAAGACAGAAACCAATGCATTTTAGAATCAGTGAGGCAGTTAGTGTTTAAATTAAAAAGAAAAACTTGGTTATCTTTAATCCTTTTCAGATACAATGTATATAGATCTTCTGGAGGAAGAGCACAGATAGTAGGCTTCTAAAAAAATCTTATTCTGGACTAATCCCACTTCCACTATTTTCTTAAGAACTTTGACCCTACTCCTATTGATGACACTGGTCAAGGACTCGATTCATTCACTGGTTTCAACTTAAAAGAAAAAGGTACCCTTTAAAGGATGTCTTGTATAATGGGATCTGCAAGTGCATTTCTTGCATCTGTGGTTTATTAGGGGGAGAGGTTTGAATGATCCTTCCCCTACAAGCTGAATACTTATAAAAATGTTGAGGATAAAACATTTCTTTGCTGGGATGCTGATGGTGGGTAATTCCCTACCTCCTCGCACCAGCAAATGAGACTACGTCAGTAGATACAAAGAATCTTACAGTGCACCTTTAGATGAAAACCTTTCACACCTGCTAAAAGAAGGATGTGCTGCACTGTCTGTACTGCTGCTGCTGGCTAACCTCCTGTTTTTACTGCTGATCTGGATCAAACTAGGTCTTGCAGCTAGTAGGAAGGAAGCCACAGAGTACCTTGTGCTGTAGTATTATGTACTAAAGTAATACAGATATGAAATAACAGCTCTCAAAATACATGTAATGAGTGAAGCCATTGTTCTTCATTTAGAAATCGCTAAAGTCAGAATCTTCTTCTTCCTTTACTTTAGATAAGCTGAACATGCTAGTCTGGAATACTATGTGCTCAGCAGTAATAAATTTACATTTAGATGTGAGAACTAGTTCAGTGGTGAAAACATTCAAGATAGCAGCACAAATACGTAGTAAAAGCTATTTGGTCCTGAGACTGAATAAGCAGAATACGCAGAAATTTTTTCTTACATGTTTACTTTTAAGAATAAAATCTTAAACCTATATACCCTGTATTTTGGGAGAAGAGACTTTCAATGTTAGTTTTTCTCTTAACTCACTAGGCTTTGATTTGAAGTGTGGAAAAATTGCAATAAATGGAGTTCTGCCAGTTCATTTGAATTTAAGTATTTTAGCCTGTTCACAAGCCTGTTGAACAGTGCTCAGTCCAATACCACAGCAGCAAAAACCACAGCTGTCTACCACAATTAACTGGTAAATCAGTGATTCCATGCTTTTGGTTCTAACTTAGAATGTAATTTTCTTTTATGCGTATGTGTAGTAAGAGTTATTCACCTGTTCTCAGACTGTAGGACAGATCAAAACCACCTCCTTAAACAGTAATGCACCGATCTGTCTCCTCACTGCAGCTGTGACACCTTAAGAGAAGTAGCACTGTTAAAATCTAAGAAAAAAGGACCCTCTTGTTGAGGCAGGAATGTGGTGGGGATAATGTTGTAAACTCCAGCATATATGTTCTCCACTTCCAAGTAGCAAAATCCACACCTATGATAAAAGAAACTACCTGTTAGAACTAAGATCTGAAGTATGTTTCAAACTTCTTAAGACTGCATTAAGTGAGTATTACCTGTAATCACCGCTGCTCTTTTTCTGAAAGCCATAGGAACCAGGATCTCCTACTGTCGAGACTGTGATGAGTTCAAAACCAACACTGTATTGCCTGCAAGTGACATGACAGACTGTTAACTTTAGTTATCTCGGTCATCAGAATTACCATGAAGAGGGCTATTTATTAAAAACTACACAGTGTAACTGGAAGACATCTAAAAGTTTTGTCACATTTGTGACAGAAATGTTAAGTCAAACTTACCGTGACATGAACGTAGAATTTGGAGGAAGGCAGAACATATTTAAGGTTTGGAACTAGACTATATGGAAAATGCCTGCTAGAAGTCTGCCTCTGCGTTTAAGTGGACTTGAAGTAGTTAAACTTGTGGTGACACACAGCACAGATCCTGGGATGTGATCGGATTGCTGTCAGAGGAATCAATGTCAGTGATCACAGCAGAATTTCTCATGTTGCACTGTAACTTGGGACAGTTTGTCTGCTACCTTTAACATGTGACAGGCACCACTGCCCCTGTCATTCAAACTACCTGAATATGATCTGCATGTGTAGGAAAAAATGCATACAAAAAACTGCTCAATTAGTGGAACAGTATAGCCACACCTTTGCACTCATCTTCATTTCATGAGAGGCGTTTCCTCAAAAAGGGGAGGATGGATAGAAAAGTGCTGCCTATTTGTGGGGCCCACTGTACAGATTTGCAAAAGATTAAACAGTTGACTGCATGTCAGGGGATGTTGCTATTTAGAAGTGCTGTATATTGGTATTTTGAGGTAGATCATGAATTTTGCCAAAGGAATTTGACCTGTGTAGGTCTATTCTATAAGGCACTGACATCCAATACTTCTCCTGGGCTGCTAGTGGCAGAGTAAATGCACTTTTGAAGCTGAAGCTACTACATAGGCTGTTGTTTGAGACCTGTAAGGGTTTAGTATCCTGCATATTAGTTCTACTACAAAAGAAAAGGAATTATGATCATAATTAGTTCTAAGAGGAAGAAAAAGTCCTTTGTACCTTCTTCCCTTCTGTGCAAAGCCTAGCTCTGCTTATACCCCAAAACTAAAGAGAAAGAAGGCTCCTGCTTTCCTTGTAGGTCAAGGATTTCCTCAGTAGCAAATGGGCAGGTTTAAATCGCTATTGATGGTGAAGTTAGAAATATAACTAGTCCTAAATCTTCTAGCTTTTCAGGGAGCTTCCCACCCTCCCCATGGAGGATACTGACAAAGCTTTATCTTTAGCATGTAATACTCTTGCTATGTTGATGCACACTTATTCGCTACAAACCTTGGTCCCCGTAGTTCAATTAGTAATGGTCCATTCTTGTCCAGCTGGAATTGGTAAATGGGGTTATTTTTGTAGGTGTCTCTGAAATTTCCACATCCTCCAGCACTGTGACCTTTCCACTGTCCATTAACCTGAAAGAAGTCAGAAGTACAGAAAATACTTTATATCCTGAGGATTTTTATTGCTTATTTATACACACAAACAAGACTACAGGCTCCTCTCACTTTAGAGGTCACTGATTTTTAAAGTGCAGGTGAAAGATTGTGTTAAGTAGTCAGAGTTTCACCGCAGTCCTCCACCCACCTCAATCAAAGCCTTAGATCCCTTACAAGTGTACTGTATTTTTTTCAGCTTATATTAAATAAGTAACAAGTGACTGTTTCTGACTATGACAAACTGCATCTAACGAAAGGTCTATATTCTCATCTACCCTGTAACTACTGGACTGTGCAGGTTATTTTTTTCTGCTCAGATGCTCCTCTGTTGTGCTAAATGAGAAACAACAGCGGTACAGAAGTACAACACTACTTGTGTTGCAACCTTTGCCTTTGAAATCACTGCCTCCAGCCCTGCCCATTCACCTCTGTACTCTGGAAACGAGCATTACAGGGACAAGATAGATATTCATAAGGACAGATTTCACAAGGACAAAGACATACAAGAGGAAAACTACTGCTCAGAGTTTGAGAAACAGGCCATCTGTTTACAAGTTCCTCCTGCTAGTCATTAAACTGAAAGGTTAGACTTGCAAGACATGCTAGGCATTCACACAAATTTATAGCCAAGATAGATAGATACATTTCTCCTGTTCCTTTCCTCCCCCTTCTGTCAAATGAGCAAGGACCAACATTTTTTCTTGTGATTTAATTTCTCTACTCAGTGTCCAAAAACCCCCAACGTGCTACTACCCAGGTACCTAAAACTGCTGTGTGGTGTTAGCTTTCCAGGCCTTTTCCATCTCCACAGCACTTCCAGGAATCGCCCTAGGGCTTGGTGAGCTCCAGAGGTGACCACTCAACTTTAGTATAAGGCATCTAACAGAACTTGCTTCTACTGGTAAACTGTAAATTAGTTTCTCCTTAAGTGTGCTGACTGCTAAGCAAGCACCAAAGAAGCATTAAGCACAGGCAACTAACTTTTTGTATTTAATCATAAAGACAGAGCTGGCCTTGGATAGATAGAACATGCCTTTTATTTGAATGCTAGACAGACATATTCAAATAATTAATAGGTTTCCACATACTTAATTTTCTTTTGAAACACAATACAACATAAAACAGATATCCTGCCTCAAACAGGCTAGTCACCTTCAATGAGTTTTTGACCTCTTAAAGCATTCCCCCAACTTAAGCCCAGTTTTTAAGAGCCAAAAAGGACAATGGTTTCTGGAAGAACCAAGCAAATCATCTCTCTGTTCCCAGGAATCTCTCTAGTCACTTACCGTTCTCCAGAACAGGCTAGCTTCAAGGGCCTGTTCCAGAAATAACAGCTGGTACAAAGCACTGCCTGAACTCGAGAGCCTAGCTGCAAGCCAGCATGTCCCCCTGACCGCACAAAGTAATGTAATCCTTGGATTCAGGCATGAGCATCCTAGAAAATGGACTGTTCCACTGTGGCTCAAACTAGCCTTCCTTCTTTCTTCCTGAAGAAGTTACGGTTTGGACAGAAGACTTCTGCCTATAGTAGGATTCCCCAGGGTACAGAGATTAAAGTTAACAGCTGCTGACTTATTCTCTCTTGAGGATAAAAGTGCTAATACATTTAAATATACACAAGTTACTTTATCCTGTGAGCTCTTGGCTATATTTATACTTCAGCTGAAGATACAACTGCAGCTCATGTTGACAGCTGAAATATGAACAGCAGCTGACCCCAGAACTGCCTGGGCTTCTGACTTAATTTCAGTGAAGTTTTTTGCTCTTGCCCCTGCTGCTGTACTCTCAGGGAGCATTTCTACATGAAATGTATGATGGGTATATTGCCTTAATCCTGTTTGGCAATGCGAGTGCTTATCCCAATGGTTACAGACCTTTTGAGATGTCTTCGCAAAACTTAGGAACAGTAATGTATTGTGATATTGCCATCCTAAGTCCGTTCGTCAGAGTCTTGCTACTGGTGCCTTTGGTTTGCCATTGCTGATTTTGTTCCATCGCGCCAAGAGTTTTTCCAAGAAAATCATGCAATTCTCTCAATGGAAAATGAGCAACACTTTTGCAGGGTTTTTACTCTGCAGTAGTACTAGCACAATTTGATCTCTGCAGAGTAATTACATATTAGGGTACAGGTTCTTATTCTAAAGGCCAGTCTATTCTACAAAGGCTTTGCAGTTTATCTGCAATAATACAGCTGTAACAACACACTCTGCAATGAAGGTGAAGCTTACATACCAAATGCCAGTGAAAGTTAAGCCACCATCCATACAGAGTGGTGTGGACAGAGTGAGCCAGCCCAAGGACTTTTATGTTGGTATGAATTATGCTAACAGTGCAGCTAATTGTTTGGCAAATTATATGTAACAAGTACAGGATTGGTCTTGAGCTAATGATGCTTAGATTAAGCTTTAGTTAAGTTTCATTTACTATAACATGGCCTGAGATGGCATTTTTGGGCAGTAGTATAAAAATGTATTTAAAAACCTTGTACATCTCAAATATGGAAAAGCCAAACCAGAATTATTATCCAGTGACCCATAAAAGAAAATATTTCTTTACCCGTTTGGAAATGGTATAAGGTGTAGGAATCTTGGAAAAGGTGAACTTGCACAAGGAATACACCTGTGTTGTAAAAGAAGCAGCTGGTCACACATTCATCTTGCACTTTACATATGAAATCATGACATGTTTAAAAAAAAGCAGAATTGCCTACACATCATTTTTAGATACTTATTCACTACATGCCCATATTACTCATCAGATGACCCTGTCTGAAACTCAAAATCCAGAATAATGCTGGGACTAACAAGACTTGGTTCTATTTAATTTTTCTTTAAAAAAGCAAAATAGAAACAATCTGCATTTTACTTTTTTCAGTGACAAAAAGAGACATCTAGCATTGATCATCACATGACTCAGCAGTTACAGAAAAACCTAAATATTGAGTCCAAGGACTTAGAGAAGTCAAAAACCTTTAAATCTTAATTGGGATCTACAATAGGCTTATTGTGGATATATAGAGTGCCAATGCTGTGCCTGTGCACAGATTCTAGGAAATGAAAGTCTTTTTCAGCTGACTTCATTACTAAAATTTCATTATTAAAAACACACACACTATATTGTCTTAACTACAAATGGAGAACATTATCAAACACTTCATCCAGTAGTTCTGCTCCATCATTCATAGACTCCCTCCCCAAAATAACGATATTGATCCAGAAGTACACTTTTTTTATCAAACTTACAAATAAAGGACACTTTAATTGTTTACATTCATTATGAAACCAACAGTACATACCCTGATGGTGTAATGGATGGTGTTTTGTTTCTCATACTGAGACACCACTAAGGTAAATATATGGGGCCCTGGAGAGGTCAGCTTTATCTTGGTCAGATAATGAGGACTGTTGATCCGAATACCATCAATATATGGAGGAGGATCAGCTGAAAAATAAAAGGATGAACACTTTTCCCTGATCAAAAAAATCCCCCAGCTTGGTAAACTTCTTAGCCATTTTGTATCAGTGAATTTTGCCAGGAAAATCAGATTGTTGGTACTAAGGCTAGACTGTAAGCACACCTGAGTGCTCTCAAAAGAATAGCGCCTCAAGATTTGCTCATAAAAAGGACAGGTAAGAGCAACTATCATTTTCAGGAGAGGTACATCACACATGACAGGACACAAATTCTGCACTTGAAAGTATGGCTTAAATCCCACAACTTGCAAGAACTGCTTATCAATCTCCCACCAATGTCACTACTCAAAGAAGACCTACTGTGATTATGTTGAAATTTGAAGAGAAAGATAAGGAACATTTGAGCACTCTTTAAAAATCTCTGAGGAGTCTGTTCCTTCTCCATTGGCTGGACAGTTCTGGAGTGCAAGCTGCCAAAATCTTTGGCCACTGGGTAAACAAGACTTTAAAACATGTTAATTTCTTTTAACTAAATCACACACAGTTTCTCTCTCTCTCTCCCCCCGTGTTGTGTCCGTCCCCCGTCCCCCCCAATACTTGTGATCATTACACAGATGAAGTTGCATCCCACTACCAATGCAAATGCGGTACTTATTATAAACCTCCCAAATACTTGCTTTTACAATTAGACAATGTTATTTGGCCTCTAATTGGTTCTTTTGAGACTTCTTTTAGTTTCAGTGAAGCAGGAACAAGTCTAACCAATTACTTCAATAGGCCCAGGATCAGGTCCTTTTATTTTCTTCCACAAAGCAACATGGGAGAGGGGAAAGGATTAATATAAAACAATGAGAAGCTTAGGAATGGGAAATCTCAGCCTCACTGCTAAAGGATTAACCTGCTTTGTTCTGATCTCATTTCAACAGATGGTAAAAATAATACTGCAGCTTGTCCAATCTATTTCCGTGGAAAAAGGTTTTAAACAAGTTTGAGCTCGTGAGGTTAAAAGTTTATAGAAGAGTTTGGGTAGCAAGACAAAACATATGAATCATCCAGTTCTTGCTAGTGGTCTTGCAGGAAGACTCTTTCAAGCACAACTGAACAATTCCCTCCATTATACAAGTGCGTTTGGTTTGTCTACTTGTTTTCAGTAAGACACACATGTAAAATAAGCACTGCTACAAGTACTAGCAACACCAGAAGCAAGTCTTGGGCCGTAAGGAGAAGCAGATGCTTTAACAAGATCAGCTCTTGCAAAAACAGATAATGATTTGGTTAGATCTCAACAAATGCTTTCCACAGAAAGACAGCTTGGATTCTAGGGGAATTGGTCACCAGAGTTCACTGAACAAGACCAGAGATGAACAATGCAACCTTTACCAGCCATTCCAATAGGAAAAAACCACACAAATTCCACTCTTTGGTGAAAAGAGCTTTAAAAGCTACTCTCTAATTAACTGTTGCTATTACCTGTTGCATGAGCAGCTACCTGAATGCAACCCTGGTTCTAAAGAGGTTCCCTATATGTAAAAGCAACAGGCCGAATCCTACCTGCCTTAGGAGGCACCTTCACTGAATTATTCCAAGAAATATTTTTACAGAGATCTCTAACTTGATGTAAAGAATAAATAAAAATATTATTAGCTCTCCCTTAACATTGCCATCTACCCTATCCATCAACCTGGGCATTACCTTTACTTCCTGTGTCTCAACCTGTGTTTCAGATCTGCTATCTGTCTTGAAATAAAACAAACATGGCTTTTTCACAGCTACAACAAAGCTCCAAAAGCCAAGCCCCTTCTTCTCAAGGTGAGTAGAATCTGACCTATAACGACCAAGAGTAATACTTTGACAAACGTGAGCATCTAAATATTTTTCTTAAACATTCCATACCTGATGCTTTGAAATATGTGAAAGTATTCAGCTGTATCTCATGAGCTTGCTTACTAAGCCAAGTTCATAAAACAATTAACCTTAATTATTTTCATTTAGTGGAAGCTGTAAACCTTTAAATAATTTCACAAATATGGGAAATAATTATGCGATCAGATAAACAGAAGCATGACATCTGTTCCCTCTAAGCATTAACTACTGCCACTGCAAAATAAACAGAACAATAAAGAAAACGCTGCGCCAAAATAAGTGTCAGCAGGACTACGTAGACTTCGTAGTGTGCTTCCAACATGTACACCTTGGTTTATTCCTTCAGTGTAGGCTGTTGAAGGTGGTCAAACAGAGCTAAACAACTATTTCAGAAGATTGACTCTCAGAGTGAGGCATCTCATTTTAAAGCAAGAAGTGCCTTTCCTCGCCACAAAATCCTTTGCAGTTCTTCATTTATTTCTACCAATCTTCTTGACAATTAAGGTACACTAACCTGGATAGTAAACTTTTTTGCCATCAGTCTTGTATACAACCATTGTAATGAATTCCCGATTGTGTGCAAAGTCATCCTATAAAAAACACAAATCAAGTAGAGTTGTACACTTCTGTGGAAAGTAACTAATACTTAATCAGAATCAAGTATACATTCTACCATCTCCTTTGATCACCACATGGTATGATCTGATATTTATTGAGATACCTGATCCAATTCTTTTTAAAATACCTGAAGTAAATAAACTGCCACTAATTTAACTTAAAACAGTTCAGGCCCCAAGATTCAAAGTTACTTCAGAACCTTTATGGTGGAATATAATCACTTGGCTCAATTTTTACGCTGGGTCTATTTCAATAATCTTGTTTGTAGGTACATGTACTTGCTGAATTTAAGATTTTTACATATACAGAGGCATTCATACCTGAACATGAACACACAAGCAGTAATAACAGAAAGCTATATAGAAAGGTTTACGGAGGATGTTGCAGAACTCATAATACAGAGAAAGAAGCCGGCACCTTATCTGTGATGTGCCTGCTAAGCAGAACCCAGACGGCAGCACCACCTTGTGGACACTGGACCTCTAGCTTGTACTGAGGATTATTAGCCAGGCTGTAGGCATCCTTCACTGGACCTTGCTTTGCATCCCAAGTACTAAAAGTAATACAGACATGTTATTAGGCAAGTAAGATACCAATTCGTGCTTTGAAAACGAAATTGCAAGTCCTACATATATACAGAGCTATCGATTATCAGTAACAAAGTTACTGAAGGCTAATTTTCTACTGCAATCTATGACAGTGGTTAGGTAATACAATTGCATCGCAAGCATTATCTTATAGCTTTGTTTTATAAATGACTTACTACAATACAAGTATGATAATAAAAAAATGATAAATACAAACAGCTTGGCTGTTTGGTATGATGACTGCAACCACACAAAGCATAGAAAAAGCTGAACCATTGAAGGAGCCTAGGCTACCCGATCATAGTCATATTGGTGATCGCATACACCAATATTAAGTGAAAAACACCTATGCTTTTGTAACCATAGAAATCCCCATATAAGCTATGGTTAGTTTCAAAAGCTTGCCAATTTTTTTACTCCAGTTTTTTACTGAGGTAATTTTTATTTAAAAATTTGATCTGTTTCATGTTTGGAAGTGTGCCTGCATGAAGTGTTAAAGATCTTTGACGTACCGTATTGCAAAATCTGCCTGCTGCCTCATGAACTGTCTAGACAAGGAAAATACAATGTGAAAAAATAAAAAGTGCTGATGACTGAATGCAAAGCATGGCACGCTAGAAACAGAAGTGGATAAAGCTATTCGTAAGTCCCATTGACCCTCCCACACTTTTAAAACTGCACAGCATGTGTGGAAGGCTATGTTATCAACTAAGCTTCAAATTACCACCATCATTACTCCACTTTTTATAGCAGTAGCCATTTCCCTACACAGCAGTACGACAATCACTAATAATACAAGGAAACACAGACTAGTAGGTGAGCTCTGAGATTAGCATACACATTACCTCATCTTGCTATATCGCCACAGTGTATTTTAGAATTAATTTGAACACAAATATGGAAGGAGCATTTACAGGTAAGATCAGCAGTTGCAGTATGGATGAAGGAGGTTGTGCAGAGCTGACATACACAGAAACAGTGTGGAAGTGGTGGCAAAGTGCAGTATAGTGGAGTGGAAAAATAGAGAAACCCTTGCTTTCCAGAACCCAGACACCCACTTATCATCAAACTAGGTGACAAAGACTGAATGCGATAGATACTAGGTAGGAGACAGGTATCATGTTCAGAAAAAAATCAGCAGGCAAGGAAGATTACTTATGATAACTACAACTGGTGAAAAACAGAATTCATTAAACTACCCTAACATCAGTGAACACACCCTGTAAAGACAACATGCACTGCACAAACTTGCTGCTGGCCAGGAAAATGATTTCCAAATAAAAACTAGGTCACTCCAGCATTGTCTGGTCACTGCTTAAAGACAGACTGCACAAAAATCTGATTTCTATTCTGATACAGAGATGGGGCACTGAGGTCAGAATCTGGTTACTCAACCTTAGGTCCACAGGAACATCACAAAAGGTCATTAGAGTCCAATGATGTTATAGAAGTAGTCAAAAGACAAAGGGCTTTGAATTTAAAGGGGCTGAGAATTTAAAAGTGTAAAGTCAGGCTCAGGGAGCATGGTTGGATTTTAACCTCTTCAGCTGTAACTAGGAGGAATAGAAGGAAGGAAACACCACATCAGAACATTTAGTGAGGAAACGACACGGAAGTTTTATCTTTTGGACCAACCTGTGAATACACGTAGATTCTTTAAAAAGACTTGGGTTCCAACTCAAATAAATAACATCATAGTACTGGCACAGGTCCTCCCAGGCAATCCAGAAAATGCCTACAAAGGAAATGCTGTTATTGTTTCCTTACCAGACACCTTGATTTCACTTGTTTTTCAAAAGTCTCTTTCCAGGCAAGTGATACAGCTTATATAAATGAACATTTCTGTAAAACTTAGTAGCAATGTCTGCATTGCCCAAATTTCTAATTTAAACTTAGCTCCCAAAACAAACAAGTTAAACAAGTTTGTCTCTGCTTATCATCAAGGACTTTCTGAAGCTATCAGAATGCTTTTCATTCTCAAGCACTCCGCAGAAGATATGAAAGAATCTGTTGTATTGAGAGAGACATCATTAGGCGATGCTGACCTGCCTCCCCCTTTCCTAGGTTTCTGGCGGGGGTGGGAATTACATAGTCAAACAGGTTCTCACAATTCAACAACCTACTTCAGTAGTCATCCAGCACAATCAAGTATTCAATCAACATTGAGTACATTCGAATGTATTTCTAAGATACTTCATCCAACACCTACATGACTTGCTTTGGCATCCTGAATCTGCTTCATCTTTACAACATTCTCATGCATTTATTCTTATTCTCCGTAGCTCCCTTAATTGCAACTCCAGCCAACAATAATGCCTGCAAGCTGACAGATTCCTGATGAAATGAACTCTCAAAAGGTAAGAGCCTTATAAATCAAGTCTCTGACATAGGCAGTTGCAGATCTTGCAGCACTAAAAAAAATGCAGTCATAATAGCTACACACTTAGACAAGACCAGAGTGTAAATCCAGTCAGAAGAAACAACTCCCTTAAAATTACTAATGTAATTTATATTAAATTTTAACTACTAGATGTTACAGATATAAATTCCTTACTAAATGAATCAGTAAATAAATAATAAGCTAATCTCTCGTAACTGTCACAAAGCCAGGGCTGTCTATTTTTATATTTAAATCAGAATTTTTCCTGATCAATAAATGCTATAGTTTAATGGGTTTGGATGCATACTGTTGTCAAAATAGAGTGGCACTGAACAAAAGGGCTCCCTCACAGAGACACACAGACAGCAACTAGGATACTAAAAAAAAAGAGCAGATATCTCTTTCTGAATTGTAAAACACAGCTTCTGCAGAATTTCTAAACTGCCAGCAACCTGCCCTTCCACCAGCAAACCCACACTGACTTTCCAGATGCTACACTCTTCTGCTCCCTAGAAGATGGGACAGGACAACACCGGGCATCACTCCAAGTGGCTTCTCTGGACAGTAACACAGTAGTACCACTGTCTCAAAGATCGATCTTAATCTACACTTACAGCTGGAAATAAAGTGTATGTAAAGATTTGTTTATAGACATATTAATGTAATGCAAGGGGAAAAAAACCACTTACCTCCAGTGCATAACCTCAAATACAGGCAAGACCAATTTGAATACTGATTATAGTAAGCATGTTGACACATATTTGCAAATATTAAAGGAAAAAACCCACAAAAAGTCTATTCATGTATTAAAAAGCAGCATTACACAGCTTACTGTCAGAATGTTATCTTTGCAATGTACTCCCCCATGCCTAGATACAGAGGTAGCAACACTTAAGCAAAGAGGTAATTTCTTGTCAATGAATTTGAGATATATTAAACAGTCCAGATTACTTAAACCCCAGACAAACCTGAAATGACAGATTTAAATACACAAACACTTCCTAAACATTTGGGGCTATTTAGTTTCTAGCATTTGTTTTACTTTCCCTCTCCTTGTGCTTAAGCATTTCTTTCTACCTTCCAGCAGGGATACACCACAAAGATCTATATTATCTGAAAATATAATTACTTTTTAAACCTTATTACCATTGTCTATTTTCTGAGCTGTTCGTGGATCAAAGTTCAAGTATTTTTGTAAATCTGGGGTCCAGTTTCTTGTGTCATTTTCACTGTATCGTCCCTTCCAACGTAAGTGGCTCCAGGGATTTTTCAACTGAAGAAATCGAAGTCCCTAAAGAAATACAAAATAAAATTGCTGGATTAATCTTGTAAAGGTAATTTTGGTATTTATATTAACATGGAATATGGACCAACAGCTCAGGAAAATACAGCATCATTAAGCTTTCTGGAATTTCCCAATGGAGCTCAAGACAGAATAAACTATATTAGCCATTAGAGCAAAAAATCAGCAGCTACCCATTGCAGACAGGTTTCAAACAGGCATCTGGAAACATCTTCAGTTTTACTTGATACCTTATATTCTCTTATATCCAAGACTGCATACGCATGGGTTGGAACTAAACCCCATTTTTCTCCTTCCTCTTCAGACATCACCCCTGTTGCTGTTGTGATAAGGACATCTCCTTTGTGAAATCTGTTCAGAGAGAGGTGAAAAATAGCTTAAAATCTTGCAAGTTGCAAACTAACATTTGTCAGACACTGTAATAGTATGTTTTTACACTGTCCATTAGCGTGACCATGCTTTTTAAAAACTGGAATACAGGTCAGCAGAAATCACTCCTGAAAAAGCTTGAGAAAGTAGAACTATTTTCTTTCAGTATTTAAGTATAGGCTTTAAGCAAAAAATTATTTTCATATGATTTCATATTTTTTGTAAATGAAAATCAGCATTTATCAACCTGAAGTTCAAGCTGTGTCACTTTTTAAAGATACTCTTCACAGATCATCAGCTGAACACAAATGTGGTTTCATCAACACTTAGCCAATCACTGCATATAGCAAATTAACAACTCTGTGACACCCTTAGGATTCTAAAGGAGCTTCCCAAAACCTGAAGATTGAGAAATTCATGCTTCTATATTTTTACAGGTGTTTACACTAACGTTTTGTGTCCCCCAGCATAGGCCTTACAGGGTCTGAATTGTCAACTCACAACAACTTGTGTTCTGCAATTGTTCTGAATTGCAATTATTAATTTCACAAAATTATTGCTGTGAAAACACACTAGCACATTTCCCAGCCCATGCTAAAATCCAAGTACATACTGAGCATCCCTAGACAGTTTACAGGATCACTGGACTATGGATCGACACAGTTTCAGTCTAGCACAGGTGAACAATAGTGATGCTATAATGGCTAGATCCCATACTAATTGCAGTCACACCTCCAAATTGTGACACTGGAATGTCTGAAAAGTTGTTGACAATCAACTTGAGAGCTCCTAACCAAATGAAAAAGCACTGTAGAAAGAGAGTCACGCTCTTTTATCATAAATGCAGATGTTTCAGTCAACAGAATATCCCCCTTCTGCTGCACTAAAATGCATAAGAAACTGGTTGCACAAAATTGTTTTGAAAGAAATCAAAGTACTTGCTAGCTGACATTTGTAAATTACAGCTATATCTTTCACTGTAAGTAGAATTGTTGTGGTAGGTCTGAAAAATCAGTATTGCAGTTCTGATAGACTTTTGCTGCTCCTCCAGATTTACTAATGGGGCATAATAACCAGTATCTTGTGATACAATTAGAAATACTATATTATATCTGCTTGCTAAGGACAGCACATCAATGCCAAAGTTCTGGGGAACTGTGTGGGAACACAGAACATGTTTCCTTCTACTTTTTAAACACTTCTAACATATATTGGTTCCAAGCTGCTCTTCTCTGATTCTATATTCTATTTTCTTCATCAAGAAATGGGCTACTGTCTTTTTTCTTCTTCATATGTAAAGAAGAAAAATCACCTCAAACAAAATTCCACAATATTTTACTCTTCTGTTCTGTCAAAGCCACTGATACCTTAATTCTTCTTCCAGAAAGTATATGGAGGTTTTACAAAGCACAATTTCTAGTAGTACCAAAATGCTATCAAAGGATCTGTGGTGACTGTACTGCTTTTACAGTGGTAACGCAGCTACTACAGAGCATTTTAATTACTTAGGAGAGAACAAAGTTCTACCTCTGATAAAGCATTCTGAAAGTACTATCTTTATTGAAAGCTTGATTGTCAGAGTGCATAGCAATTCTTTCAGGTATCCAACCAGTCAGTGCATGGAGATCAATATTCTGAAATGCAAGCATTCAAAAGAAATCAGAATAGATAATCCATCTATAAGCATATGATGTCTGTACACAAATTATAAAAGCGCCTTGAAAGAAATCAAGTATACACAAGTTACAATATAGCTCTACACACAAAAGGCTCAAGATTAAGGCTATATTAAAACAAACAAAAACGTATTTGATTAGTTTAGGACATTTCCAAATAAGCCTCAAAAAAAAAAAAAAGGCAGCACCAAGCTAGAAAGTGAACTGATGAAACAAACTGGAATTTCAGAGCAATGGAAGCGTAAGAGAATGATCAATCATGCTCAATTCTATGATGTGTTCTATTCATTTCATTGATTCAGACTTTTAAAGCACAGTCTCAGAAGCACTATTTGGAACCTTGTTATTATATATGCATTTTAAATAATTTAACTTTTACTTCTAAGGCTCAGGGTTTGGCTTTTATATTCTTTTTGCTAAAGCTGACACTGACATGTATTTCTATAAAAAGATGCTTTAATCTCCCCATTTAATCTCCTCAAAATATTGCTTATTCCCTTTTCTTTTGCTTTGTACTCCTCAAAGCAAAAGCAGAGACTATAAATGCTTGAAGTGTCAATAACCAGCACTGGTAGGTGGGAACTTGAGGAATTACAAGTACAACACAGCCAGTAAGTAACCCTGATTATACACAGAAGCTATAATACAGTTGAAAGCAGAGGGGGCGGAAAGGGTGGAGATTAAAGGTCACAAGTCAAGCTGTTTTTCCAGATAGCAAGTTAGAGGATGACAATGAGAATAAAACACAGCTATTCTCACCAGCTTCTGTCCTCCAAAACAAAGGAGCCCAACACTGACATAAACATACATTAAAAAGTATACTACATTTCCCCTTATACAAAGCCACGTTTGTCTCCATAATCATTTTTCAAAAGGTGATGATTACCTAGTATACCCTCCAAGAACGCAATTATCAAGACACCAACTAGAATGTGAACAGCACCATGAAATCAAAAATATACTGTTAAAATTTTAAAGAATTTTAAATTAAAATCAGAAATGCTTCCTAAGTAATGAATGAAGATTATGCAGGCTACTCATTTCAGTAAACTGGCCCTCTTTAAAAGAATAATTTGCACGTCAGCCTAGCTGCAGTACAATGACTGTTTCTTTAGTAACCACATTATAGGAACCCATTACATATTTATGTAAATGAGTGGAACAATCTGATAAACAACATTTCACGGATCAAAGTACTTCCTTCCTCTATAGACATGTACTGAATGACTAGCCTGTTCCTTTCCTAGCTGTCTCCGCTAGCTAATGAGGGAGAACTGTCCTCTTTATTGAACGACAGTTAGAAACCAAAATCAGCAGTATTGATATGGGCAAAAAAAATTATGACTTTACCCAACACTTTCATCTAGACTCTATATAAACACATACACTTCCCAACTGTAAGTGCCAATCCTGCAGTCAGAGAACTAAGATTAACTCTGCCCACCAAGATGCCTTGCTCACTCTATTTTGATGGAATACATCTCATCAAGTACAGCTAAGCATATTTGTGAAAGAAAGAAATAGAAAAAAAAATTAAGAAAACATCAAACCCAGTACTTGCCTCCCCAGACAATTCATTTATTTCATTAGAAGGGCAGTTATTTGACCCAAGATTATCTAAGTGGAATTTTTGCCTCTTAGAAATAATCTAGTACTTACAGAATTTGATCCAGGAAAATCATATCCTCCCATGACCTTCATGTAAGCCTTTTCTATTAGTGATACCCATAATTCATTCTTATTGTTAGAGTAAGAGCAGAGAAGTTCCCCACTATGATCAACAGGTAACTGGTCATCTATGATTACCTGTGTGAAATAAACAAATGAAAAATCACCATAAAGCTAATAAAGTATTTAGGGAGTATTTAAAAAATAAAACCAAACTCTCATTAATATATAGCTTCACAGATAGCCAGATCTGATCATTGCTCTCATATGTGGACACCTCTATCAATCCTGCAGTGGTTTGCCCAAGTGAACAAGAAATTCTATTGCCAGCTCCTACTTGCACTGGTCCACTGGGTGATCTGTGATCATCTGCCTCACCTTCCCCTATGTAAATGGGGATGATGACAGCATGCTCTTGTAAAATGTCTAGTATCTATTGTAAAAGGTAGCCACCGAAAAGTTCAGTGTAATTACCAGCATAAAAAGTAAAGAAAAGCCTAACAATATTCCTCACCTAATTTGGAAACAGAACATGGACTGTGCTTCATAACTATCAGAAAAAACCCAGTTATTTATCTATAAGGAAGGAAACTATGTGTCACATCACTTTCATAGTCTCTAGTTCCAGATTTAAATTTCTTCTGTCTGGAAATGAAAAACAACCCAAAGAAACGGTTGTGAAAGTATTAACATTTCTTCTTTAAATTAGGTAGGATATATTTGGCATTATTACAGATTGTTACTGCAGTATTTGTAGTGGTTTGAAACAGTTTTCCAAAACAGATGTTTCAGTTTCACATTGGCATTAGTCCGTTACCTATACAGGCTACCAACACAGCACATTTTCTGGTCAAATTCTATCTGCACAGGAATGAATAATCCTTTTCATGGAAGAGCAAATGGCCATTCATCCTAACAAAAGGCCATCAGGAGATATGTTGGAAAGAGTATTAAGAGCAAGGCAAGCACATAAATGATACTTCCATGAAACATTCAGATTCCAGAATTTTGCAGCTCAAGGACTTCCTGACCCAGAGGTTATTATCTTAGCAATTAATAGCCTTTGAGGAATTTCCCCTTACCCCCCCACCCTATGAATATGACCACTCAACTTTTGAACTCCCACAAATGTTCACTGGTCACTACAACCTGCAATAATCAGTGCTACAGTTAAGTATTATATGAAGAAATACATTATTCCATGCCCTTATTTATTGCACTGAAAAGAAAATAAAGCCATTTGTGAGTTTAAGAAATTCTGTCATATATCTTCAGGCATCTCCTCTCCTTACTAAAAATCTGTGGTCATTTGAGTCATTCCTCTATGGTCATTCCATGTCTATACTCTTCCTGGATGTACCCCTCTGTACTTTTTAGTTCTGTAACTTCCTTTCTGAGATGGAGTGGAAGAGTGGATTACTTGCACACCCTATCATAAACATGGGATGCATAATTTCATTTCTGTATGGTTTTCATAATTCTTTTAAGCAATAGAAAGATTTTTTAATGAATTTAATGTGAGGCTATTTTCATGAATGTCTGTAGAAGAAATACCTACATTCTGTTACATACTTCACAACCAAAATGAATCTCAAAAGGTTTAACCATTAAAAAGCACTTTCCAACAAAACTTGTCTAAAGTTTTTGCTATGCAAGCATAGCTTCACAGTGAAGCAGACCAAGCCTTTAAAATATATGAATTAAACAGTAACAGTATTAAGACTCCCCCAAACCATTTACCTTTCTAGGTACACCATTGATATGAAGCTTCACCATGTATTTGCCACACGGATTATATTCTGGTTCTCCTTTCTTATTCTGAGGGTAAATTATACTGTTTAAAAAAAAAAAAAAGGGCAGAGATTGTGACATAAATGTCTCAGCTGTACATACACTGATAACAATAAAAATGGGATTAACACGGTCTGTTTCTGGAATTTACACTGAACAAAAATATGGAATTTTTAATGAAAGAGCAACTCAAATTTAGTAAAAATAATAATGATGTTTAAATAGGTTTTATTTTTTCAGACCTTGGTCTCGCTGCAGTTCTCTGCTTAATATAGTAACAAAAATAACGTAATTGTTTCTCCAACAGAAGCAAGGCAAACAAATTTATCTTGCTATTAAACAAAGGTTATTTACACATCTGTAGTATAAATACAGTACTGGCCTGAATGACAAGTCAAGCATTTGAAGAAGACAACCATGCAGAACTCGCTGCTCTTGAAAAGAATGCAAGTTCAGTTCTAATGAGTATAGGTTAAAACAAAAAAATGCAGGAACAAAGTTCACACACTGGTCTGGCAATGAGCTCCCAGCAGAGTCTCCCAAACCCATGCTGAATGTGTCACAGGGTGCCAGTCAAGTGGAACTGAGACAGTGTTGTTAACATTAATTTGACAATGAGATGCAAGATGGACCACCTGTTGCACAGCAGCTGGCATAGCAAAGTACGAAAATAAACCTATAAAGCATTATAAGTAAAATTTCTATTAAAAACCAAAGAAAACCTTCCAAACTACTTATTACTTCTCAAAGTACATGTGAAGTCAGACTCCAGTGTCTGTATACATGTTTGTATGAAGTTGGCTTCCCTCTCAGAAGTGCTGAAGCCACATGAGTCCCAGGGAGATGAAGGGGAAACAAATGCTAGTTTTTACTGTGTCCAACTGTCATAGAACATACTGCAAAAGCCTGGCAGTATTAAGTCTGAAAAGGTCTTAGAAAGCAACAGCTACTTACCTTGTGATCAATTTTTTGTTATATCTTCTTTCATATGCTGCACTGATAGCTAGCGATGCCACAAAAGAACAATCTGACACTATTGTCTGTAAAGAAAACCAGTGAGGACATTTACTAATAACTTGGATAGTGAAAGACAAACAGGGTGTGTGGAGGGAAGGAAAATCGTCAAGTTAGTAAATCCCTTCAAAAGGGAAAGATTTCAACCAAGAGAAGCAAAGTTACTACTAAAAAGGCAGGAAATGTATGCTTGCTCAACATGAGGCCCCTACACGGCAAACCAGAGTTAGAATTATTAATGACAATCAGAGACAAGTGCAGATATCTCAGCATATACTCACACTTATTCCCTCCTCCCCAAAACACACTGTGTAATAAAAACCATATCCAATGATATAATCTGTTGCTGATTGCAGAATAGCTTGGGCTATCTGCAACTTAACACTAGGCAAGTCATTTCCACTATTCTCAATGGGCCACTCTGCTTCCTGTCAAAAAAAAAAAAATCTAAAAATCTTGCTTGGTATTTTTAGCATGCCGTAAATTAAGTGATCAATTTGCTGCAGAGTACAGCTTGCCTTTTTTCCTACTAACCTTACCACTACTTCTGGAAAACAGGATTTTCAGCTAGAATTCAAATTCTGATTTTCACTTCTACTGCTAACACACCTGTTTATTCTCATGGCTAGAAAGTGCATGGAATCTGAAATGATACTATTTATTTATTTATTTAATCCAATGAGAACCAAGGAAAGCACTTGCACATTTCGGGATTCCTTTTTGAACAAGAAAGTCCCCTACAATAAACTGCTAGCAGCACACATTTCTCTTTAGGAACAATTTACCTGCTTTATGCTGAAACTTGATACAGTATAAATCATTGTAGGGTTATTTGTTATGTCATCTGGTCGCACCCACTTGGCAAACATTGCTTTCTGTTTGGGGGATAATGGTAACTTCCCATATTTATCACTAGATTTAAGAGAGAAAAAAGTACAAATAAATCAATAATAGAAATAAATCAATAGCAGTTTAGAAAAGCTTTTCACGGTATGTCCAGTCTTAAGTATGTCTGATAGATGGTGCAAAATATGGGCAGAACACAGCTTTGTATACAGAGATGTAAAACAATTTCAAAGAACACTACTGCTAAGTTTGTGATTTTTAGGGAAAAAAGGCAAAAATATGAAAAACATGCAATAAAACCCAAAAGCTTACTTCATACAGGACTGAACAGGAGAAGGGAATGCCAAAGAGCTATCTACATCAACAGAAACTCAAATTCTTCACTTTATTTTAATACGATGAACTAATAATAAAAAGTTTCTTTAGTTCTGAAAATATTGAGGCTTGTCTGATTGACAAGCCTTTAGCGGAAAACTGAAAAAAACCAACAACCAACCAAGCCCAAGTGTCTTTGTCTATTATGGCTATGTGATCTTAACATTATTATTGCTCATGTATGAAGGTCTAGCAGTTACATATCACTCTTCCTTGGAATAGTCCTTTACAGAGGAAGCAGCTATCACTTTCATTTTACAGGTAGCTGAGGCAGAGGAAGCTAAGTTCATTAGCATGCAGTAGAATCAGGAAATGGACCCACGTTGCCAGCCCAGCCCAATACTCCAAAAAGTCAAATATAATGTTGTCCTTATAGTCCTGAACACAACTGCAAAAAGACTCGAGACCAGGATCAGCTTACACTAAAGTTTTAAGATCAGACTGGAAGAAGAAAGTGGTAGTATTTAAATATCTCTGCCTTAATTATGCTTAAAAGCCTACTTAAACAATTTTAAACTCTGAAAAAGGAAACATAGAAATACCAGATATGGGAAAGCTTTGGAAATAAAAAAAGTTCAGTAATCAAATCACACTTACGAAAATGGCATAGGGAAGGCAAAACGTTCCCTCAGATCAACACTCATGAAAGGTACATATTCAATGCCATTAATTTTTGAAGTCTTTCTGCAAGTCATAAGAAAAAAAAAATATAGTTACAAACCTCTCTCTCATCTTTCAAAGACTAAGTTCCAGAAAGTAACAACAAAATTAGTTTTCAAAAACTAACAAGACACAGTGCTTCTGAAAACAAGACAACTACCTCTTGAAAATGAAACAAACACTGTATATGTTTGGTTTTGAAATGTGCAGTACTTGATGGCTCAGTCACTAATCCTGCAAGTAGATACCTGCAGACAAGTCACCATGCCAGGATAGAAATTATTATCAGCCACAAACCTCTTCATAGTTCTAGAAGTCACATTTAAAACTACATCTGTCTATTAGAATTTCTCAAGTCACTTAAGACTCTCATTAAAGAGAGTCTTAGGATAAGTTGACAGCAATTAACAATTAGCAACACTTAGATTTCATCTAATTGTGGCAGTATTTTGGAACACTTTGTCAAAAAACAATAACAAAAATACCGCATATGTTTATAAGTACATTTTTGACTAAAGTGCACAGAACATTTTCTAAAAAAATAATCATATTTCAATGTGAATGTAATTTAAGTTTCAAACAAGGAGTTAACTGAAAAAGGTATGCAAAATATTTTTAAAGCAAATGATTATTAAATATGTGAAACAACTTGTAGTTCTCTTGCAAGACTGAAACAACAACAAACCCTGAAACACCCCCCTTCCCCCCCATCCACAAAACCAGAAACTTTCACTGCGTGGTCACTACAAGAGGAAACAAACTGAAATTTTAATAAGGCAATTCTTAATGCTCTGCAACTTTTCCAACACATGTACATTTCTGTCTTCATGACCATATCCTCAGTCCATTTAAGTCCCCTAAGTCAACAAGCAGACTAAATGTTTTATGATCAAATCCTGGGCAGTGTTCATCAGAGGAGGAGGAGGAAGGTTGAAACACCTATCAATGTTGTTTGGTTTTTTTAAGGTATATTTGATAGTTTTCAAAATTCATGATTTAGGCTAAAGGTTTTATGGATTATTTGTAGCTTATTCCACCTATAATAAAAATCAAAGCAAAATGAACTGGATGTAACAGAGTCACAGTCCTACAAAATATTATTCTTCCTCAATTTCCAGTGACGTAGTACTTGTATAATCTATAAAAACATCTTTGTAGCTTAGCTTCTCAGAGCCAGATCTTTCATGAACTCAGTCAGGTAGGTTATGTATAACATACAAAAATAAGGCTATGAAAAATAATCCTGGCAGTCAGTTACAAGAAATTGTCTTCTAAATACAAACTAGAAAGTATGCTCTGTGAATAAAAGGCACTAATTACATTACCATAGAGAATAACAGAATTTATTAATGTGTAGGTAATACCAGCAATGGGGTTTGTAAAAGGTGGTTTTCCAACCCTCTATTTATACACCTCATGCTTCGGCTGTTTCAATCTACTGTGTAAGATGCACAAAGGATGTGAGCACAAATGATAACATTTTGGAAAAACTTACCTAAGCACTTCAATCTCCTCTGCAGTGTATCTCTGACCTTGAGATTCGCTAGCTTGTACTGCTCTGATTGTCTGTGGTTTATCATTTAAAGAAAAATCAGGTCCCAGTGGAAAGAATGTTCTGACTGGCAGATTTGGTTTAGCTGCAGTTGACTTCTCCTTCTGAGATGACTTTGACACAGATTCCTTCAGTGCCTCTGCTCTAAAGCAAATAAAAATGCATTTTGTTTATAACGATAAAAATATAGTTATGGTTCAATTATTGATTTGTTTGGTTTGTGTTCCCACATATGTGAAATGGAATGAGCAAATGCCCAAATTGACCAACACCATTTTTCTTAAGAAAAACAATTTCTGATGCTAATACTTATTTATTTTCCTCTTCTAGAATCAATTAAAATATAGCATTTCTAACTTGTATATAAGCTACTTTTGGCAGAACTTGTTAGATTTTTGTTGCCTTTAAATTATGCTAATCGGAGAATTTGTGTAAGTGTTCATTATCTGGAACCTCAGAACAAGACCACTGAAACACAGAGAGAGAAAACTAATTTGCATTCTCTCATACCTTCAAGATTTAATTTACCTAGCAACTACAATAGCAGTAAAAATCCACTAGCATTCTCACAACCCACGATTTCGACTGCTTGAAGACTGTGTATTCAGGAGCCATATTTTGTTGTTGTTGCATTAAGCTGCTGGATAGTCACATATATGCAAAATGTGGGGAGTTTTTTGAGCACAGAGAATTGCTGAAAACCAGCTTATACTGAAACTTAGCCCAAGATGGTCCATTATTTGCCATCATACGGCTAATTTAAAAAGACTTACATGGAACTTACACTCGTGTATCTTGTTTCAGATATAGACTCCATTCCATTAGATCTACCCATACCATTAGATTGCTACCATCAAGATAAGTATTTCCCAGTTACCAACCTGTCTTCCTTACGAAGGGATGCTGACACCCTTAGTGCTGGCCTGAATTCAGCATTTTTATAGAAGCTGAAAATTGTAGTATAGTACTCTGATTTATATCTCTGAAGACTGAAGTAGTGCATTGGTACTAACGAATACACAGTCCTTTCCTAATTCTGCATGTCCCAAGATTCCCAGACAGTTGACAAAACAACTGCTGTATTCAGCAGTACAGCAGCTGACAGCCATCTCCAAGGAGAACTCTACAGCAGTTCGGTCTACCCACAATCCATACTCTTTGCAGTACAGAACAGACATGCTAGATTGAGAATCCAACTCAGAGTGCACTTACCCCTGACAGAAAGTTTGTTTACTAACATTGGCCATACTCACCTATCCAGTGCTTGTCGAGCCAGCTGTTTCAGTTTTGACTGGAGGCCTGCTTCTGAAGTTTCAGTAGCCTTATGTGCAAAATAAAAGAAAAAGCTACACATCCAAAAAACCTGCAGGTTTTATATGCTCAGTTTGTCAAATTCTACACTTATGGATTACAGCAAACAGTAACTAGCTATTTTTTCCAATTCTCTTTTGAAATGAGCAAATTTTTTTTAAATCTCAGCATAAGAAGCATGTAAGTAAGCGAATATAATTTTGCTGTTCTAGTGAATGTTTGTAGAATGGAAGCGATATTTAAAATTCTTCAGCATGGGAAACCCTGTATACACAAAAAAATTTGCCAGAAGAATTAACCATATTAAAACACTATGGGCAGAAAGAAGACAAAAACAAATGTACGTATACTACTGAGCTTAGATGTGTTCCAGTTCTTTTCCCCAAATGAGTCAAAAATAATCATGATAACTTAGGGAAATTTTTTTTTTAAATGTTTACTTTCATAAAATACAAACAAGTAAGATTGCTTGCAAGTTGAAGTTCTTGTTCTTGCACATCTAAGGTATAAAATAATCTATGACAGGGCACCAAAACAGATATCAAGAGTGCTAACTTCTGTTCCCAGTTGGGGGGTCAAGCTGTGACAGTTCACACTTTTCTTTTCCTTACAGATGAAGCATGGCTACTGCACCTAAACAATCTGCAAGAGGCACAACATGAGGTGTGGCTTCTCCTGTGACACCAGCAAGCAGGTTTCAGATTCTAGCTTTGTACCTGGACCAATTCTCACAGGTCAGCTAGGTCAACTGAGGAAACAAAAGGCAAGCTACTTCACTCCAAGAAACAAACTAGAAACACCCTCCATAAGCAACTATTTTCATTTCCAAGTAAATTACACTCCAGAGTTCCTGGTTGGAAAAGACTTTGAAAGATGTATGAAGGTAAGCAGTGGAGATGGAATACCAGCACACTCATCTTAGGAGTCAGCCATAGAAGAGGAGGAATAGCTACTCTCCGAGTACTTCAAGGGTAAGGAAGAAACAACTCTCTCCACCTGAATATACTGAGGAGAAAGACACAAGTAAAACTTCAAGATAGCAGAGTTCCTTCAATCTTCTTTCATCCTGGGAAGAAGGAGGTACTTTTTGATCACCCCGAGGGACAAAGCCTACAATCATCTCAACAAAAGAATATGCTAGTCAAGATTAAAAGAAACTTGAGCAGTATCTGTACCTAATGAAATACCTGATAAAAGCAGTTGTTAATATAATTTCAGACTAACTTCAACATATGCAAGTAATATTTGCATGCACTGACACAACAGAAGGAGGAACACAGCAGAGGAAAAAACAGTATGCTGCTGCAGTAAATTTTATCTCACAGGCTGAAAATGTTCTGCTCCAACAGCCAAAGTGGAAAAACTAGAACAGTTCTACTAACTCTTGATCTGGTTACACTGTATGACCAGGGTTCTTTAGCCTACATAAAACCAGGTTACAGAATTCAGAGAAAAGAAGATTTTACTCTACCATGTAGCAAAAGTAACATTCCCCTCCCAACAGCCCATGTATATTTACATCATAAAAAGGGAAAAGAAGGGAAAAAGAAAAACAGACTTGGTGGAGTTACATTATGATGGTGAGCTCTTCCTGTAATTAGTTAAGACAACTGGACTTAAGGGAAAAAAGCAGTACCTGTAATTATATTCTCCATCATTTACATAATGGCCAATTAATCCTTACCATTAATTTCAGTGTGAATTGAATTAACTCGTAACAGCTTTAATGTTGAGCACTGAGTAATCAAGTAGTATTTTTACTGGTTTTGGCATCAGTAGACCATTATGTTTTCAGAAAGTGTTACACACAAAAATTGCCCTTAAATTACTTCCTTTAATCTAGTCAGAAAGTAATATGGCTGACATATTAGCAAGTCATCTTCAGTTTTAACTGTTTTTAATTCCTGTTTTAGTGTTGCATTTGCTCCAGGGCAAAAATTAACATGAAAAAAGTTCCAGAATATTTCTATTTTTTTAGTAAAATCCAGTTCAAGAAAAATACATAAATCACAAGTCCCCATAAATTTACAGTGTTGAATAGCAACATAACATAAAGACTGGAAGAAACAGGAAAAAAAAAAAAGGAAAAAAAGATTTTTAAAATAGTTTTTGGAAATACAGGTACTCCCTTTTTAAGCCAGTCTTTAAGGATCAGTCGCTTGCGTAAGTGGAAGAATTTCTTACCATCACATAATTCCACCAAGTTAACCTGTAGCTTAACATACTGTTTTCAAACAGAGTTCCACCGCTTCTGTGTACAACTCTACAGCTTCTTCTGCATTGCCTTTATCATCTTCATCAAAAGCCTGTGTAACTAGGAAGTGAGCACGCTCCAAGTCCAACTGTTGTTTTGACTTCAGAGGGTCTGTGTTCTGCGACTGAACTAAATGAAAAAGAAAGTATTTAGCTTTCTACAGCAGCGGACATGTAAAAAACATCCTTAACATGGTACTGAAACACTAGCAGTTCTAATCAGATGGGTAGTATCTATTTCTTGGCTGGAATCCAAATCCTTCCAAACTTGGCTAAAAATGTCTTTGCAAGGACAAGAAAACACCATCCCTGAAAGCAGACATACACTCTCAGGATATTTCACATGTCAGATAATGTAAATAAAACCTCTTCCATACTGCACTAAGGACAAGGATGTTTAACTATGTAAAATACTGCATCATTTGTGAAAATACACCACCTACGGTAACATGCAAGTTCCTTAGGTGTCTATCTCATTTAACACCTTAATGACCTTAAAAGGAGAAAATGGAATGCACTTTCATCAAGGCTGCAGACCTCACCAAACTGATTCATTGAAGGACACAGCTGCTGTTCAAAGATAGATAGACAAGCTAAAGTAACAGCTTAACAGTAACCTCAGGAAATTCAACCAGGACAAACGCTATGCCCTGTGGCTGGGACAGACTAACACCCTGTGGGGTACAGCTCTGTGGAGAAGGGCCTGGGGTCCTGGGAGACAGCTGGGTAGCCCAAACCAGCAGGCCCCTGGCAGCAATGAAGGCTAACAGCACCCTGGCCTGTGTCAGCAGGAGCACGGCCAGGAGATGTGGGAAAGCAATTACCACCCTCTACTTGGTACTCATTAGACTGTATCTGGAATACTACATCCAACCTCAGGTCCCTAATGATGGTTGGGGCTGGAGGACTTGGCCTTTTGAGAAGAAGCTGCGGGAGCATGACTTGTCCAGCCAGGAGGAGAGATGGCTTTGTGGGGACCTAACAGCAACCTGCCAGTAACTGCAAGGTTATCAAGAAAACGGATTCAGGCTCTTCACTGAGGTGCAAAGAAAGGGAATGAGAGCCAGTGGCTGTGAATTGAAACATGCGAGAATCCAACTAGATATTAAAAAAAAAAAAAAAAAAAAAAAAAACCCCCCGGGAAAACGGGCCCAAGGGCCCCCGGGAATTTCTGTCCTTAGGCATTTTCAGGACCTGAATGGATCTGAGCAACCTGGTCTAAAAATCAATGTCTACACTGCTTTGAGCACGAGATTGGTCTATAGACCTCCCAAGGTCCCTTTCTGGCCAAGTGATTCTATGATTCTAACTGAGAAGCGCAAAAATTTGAGGTTTTGGTCTAAGTACAAACACTGAAACTGGATCAAACAAGGAAACCCCTACGAGAGCAAAAAGCTCTTTTACCCTCTCAAAGGTAGTAATTCTACACAAATACCAGAACCCACTTACTTCAAATCCATCATGAAGCTGAGGCTTACATGCAAGTTTTGATTTGTTCCTCATCAATTTTTGTTGCTATATTTAATTACTTTCTCAGGTTTGCTCTACAGATATGGTTCCTAAGAATATGTAAAAGGAAAGAATACCCACACCCAAGTCCTTAGGAAGTAGGTCTTCGTATCATTTCTGATGTATCAGAATTCAAAGCACTGATGTGCTCATTATATTTGTGATCCTTCACAAAGGACAAGAAAATTAGAATAATGAAAAACAGAGCAAACATCATTGATGCATATTTCACAGCACCAAAAGGCTTTCCACCCAATTAATTTAAGCAGAGGTTTAATTAGAAAGCTCCTTACCCACCTGCTGAATGGAGAGCTTGAACTCTCTCCAAGTACTCATTTATTTTTTCTTGAATATTTTCCAGGTTGGACCCTGCCATCCCAGCATAAATCAAGGCTTGTGCAGCTTCCTGCAGGGAGAAGAATTTGAGGCAAAGTTAACGTTTGCTGCCTAGAAAACCACTTTCCATAAACAGAGGGCCTACAGAACCCATAAGTTGCATGAAAGCAAGCCTCTACATCTGCAAAAAGATTCAGTGGCTGCAGGGAAATTCTGGTGGAAAGAAGAAGTTTTAAGTGATAAATGAGATCACATTCAATTTCTCAAACATGGGACAACCTATAAGACTATTAAAAAAACCTTCTGAGGTTCTATAAGGCCAGATCTTAGGCCTGTCTGTATAGTAATGCAGGGAATTAGGAGATTTTAAGTAAAATTTTTCAAGCATGCACTGAAATCAATTACGTAAAGCTCACAAGCCACAAACTGTGTTTTACTTTTAAAGCTGCGGATTTAAGGTTAAAAAAAAACCCAACAAACTACTCACAAGTTATTTGCATTTAATCTTATAATAATGAAAGTAAACGAATATAAAAGCTTTTCAGAATCAAATGCATAGAATTTTGGTTTAGAAAGTCTTTTCTTTTAATATTACTCACATAAAGCTATCAAATCTGGAAAGTTTACAAATTTAAAGTTTCCTCGCTCTTCAAACTTTTGGTTTTTAAATGTTTGCATGTACACAAAACACTAGATATTGATGAAAGTCTACTTCCAGGAGGGAGCATAGACCTCCAGCTCAGATGCACAGTATGTTATCCGCATTAAGGCTTTTTTCATACTGCACAAATCTATTAAGAAAAAACACCTTCAGTTGCATGAGCTATCTATCCATTCACTAAATTTATGAAAAACATGTAAGGTTTGGCAGGGTTGTAATAAACAGTCAAAGCTGAGAGTCTCAGAAGCATATGGAGAATTGAAATTTGTCACTCACAAAAATGAGGATAAAAACCTAATTTTGTCTTCATTATTGGCATAGAAAAACCCCCACACTTTTGTGGCAGTGCTTGTCTTCCCAGTAGCAGTAGAAAAGAGGAGGTAGTCATGTAGCAGGTTGAGTATGTAGGAAGCAGAACAGTAACTAGAGAGCTGCTCTACAAAAACGGTGCTCAGAGAGGCTGCTCTGCATAGGGCAAGCAGAGCGCCATGGCCAGAGGGTCTCTTGTGTGCTTCATGGCCATGATTTTTGTCAAGCTTAGCAGTTTGCTCCCATACACATCTGCCTAGTGTGCCCAAGCTTAAAACTGATCCTGATGCAGCCTGTACTTGTTACCAGGACAAATTTTCACTGACAAGCATCACAGAACCAAGTACCACATACTCCCTGTAAACATTCATCACCATATTACACCACATAAAATGTCCACAGCAAGAGAAAGGTAAATAGAATTACTGTTCCATTTATATATAGCAATTAACTACTGTTAAGAGCTAGCATACAACTATTTTTTGTGGGGAAAAAAATGTGCACTACAGATATCTGCTCAAAGGATGTATATATTTGTCTGTGACATACCACAAGTACAGACTGACAAAACAGGTGCTGTATCATAATATTAAGTTGTCTACACATGATGCAAAGAACAAATGTGGATTTTCAACCCAGTGCTGCAAAACCAATGCATAATTGATGTTGCTTCTATGATTTCAAGCACAACTGTTTTGCTTGGTCTTAAGACGTAAATAGTCTTTTATAAATTAAGCCTCTAAAGGACTGAAGCAGTTAACCAACTGCCTGCAGAGCCAGCACGCCAAGTGTTCCCAGTGACAAGATGGACATACAATTCAGAGTTAGTATTTATGATCTCTTCAATGCCACTACTGTTCTTTGGCGTAAGTAGTGTGCCACAGTCACACTAAGCTAACTACTGATCATCAGCTCGCAAGTTGCTAACTGCTGGTCTACAGCTAAACTTAGCAACAATCTTCAGCTGTTCTGCTTAAGTCATCAGGTGCCCAAATATGGTTCTGACATTTCTGTAGAGCACCATTATTAGCAAGTTACCCTAAGCTGGTTCACGTGCAGCCCTCCTCTAGGGATCTATGAAAGTTACACGATAGCAGGAAGACAACCAGCACTTGCTAGCCATAGGAACTTTGATCCAGACAGGTCCGTTTGCTGTCTATCGGCAATACACTATAGCATTTCCCATGCTTCATCCTTAAGGTCAACTTCTTGCGGAATCCAATTCAGCACCCAAGCTTTCCCACATGCTTAGCAATTGCATCAGTGGGCTCTGAACCACTTAGAGCAGTTGACAAGAAAGTTGGTGACAGGCCAGAGCTTATTTGCACTGTCCAAAAAAATTCATAAAGCACCCCCGAAATACTAGATGATATTTTGTAACTACTCTTGTTTAATCTAACATTGACAGTGATTCTTCAGGTAACATCTAGAAAGCCAAACCTATTGAGGCTAAATCATACATAAAGAATTCTGCTTTAACAATATCTGCTGAGTTTGCTTTCACTCCTCCTGATCACAATAGGTTTGAACACCAACACCTTCACATATAATCTGACACAAGAATCAACACCTAATCTTGGACTGCCAAGTCACCTGTCTGAATACCAAAAATCTTAGCTGCAGTTGTGATTTAAAACTTTCCTGTTACATAACAGTGTCCATAATTGTGCTGCTCTGTGGCCTAGCTTTTGCATACCAGAAAACATTGTCCAGATTACAGTCTTTGTCATGTGTAGCCTGAAGTGCACCGAGACTGCCAGGGATGCATTTTTGCTCTTAGCAAGAATATCACTCCTATGCAGCAAGTGAAAAAGATTTTTCCATACACTGTACAAAAGCATGCAAGAGTGATTATTTGCACAAAAAGATAGTATTCTTCTGAAGAGCATCCAATAATTTCTTCTAGATATACTGAGAAACGTATTGTAACAAAGCAGTACTGCACATAGCTATCAGACCATGCACACACACTGTTGCTGATAAGCACAGAGCTTATCAGCATTATTATGGGTAACTATAACTTTTGCATATATATACTTCACATATATAAACTTAGCTCACCGTACATTAATAACCAGGTTTAAAAAAAAATACTTCTCTTCCTATCCTTTCACACTTACATGCATAGGCCACCATGACAATAACACTATGCTTTTTATACATTTCAAAGACACCTAGTACTCACGAAGCAAAAGGCCAACTACAGAGTTCTTAGCAAGTTAATGGAAGAAAATAACTTTGACAGGATAACAGAATACGTGCAATGGTTACTACAACAAGGATAAACATAGGCTTCAAAGAAATCTCTTCTTGCAGGTGAGAAGTAAAGCCAGTGGGATATGGAACTTTAATGTAACTTTGCAAAACATAAATCTAAGAAAGTGAGACCACTTACACAGGTGAAAAACGCATACTGGTTGCACAGAAGCCACTAAATACCAGTAGTAAGTCTATAGATATTGAGGAAGACACTGAATCAACTTCATCACACCCTTGGTTACACCACCCTGAAGCTGTATTGAAATAATAAAACCAGATCCCTAGTAGAAAGAATATTCACATGTAGTTAAAAACACGTTACTCGTAGCTTGTGATCTGAAGCCAGCTCACTGCTGAGCATCTGGTATTTCACCATGTACTTCTCTACTTATTTGACAAATGATTATACAAGAGAGTTGTTTCCAGCTGCGTACTCAAGAGCTGCAGTATGCCCACTTGCAGTTCTCCAAAATGTGCTGCGCTTACATCTCCAACATAAAACTGAACAGTCTTTCAGGCCTGATGGGGGTAGGGGACAGGCCAGGAATGAAAGTGGAGAACCACCGGGGCAGAGACATTTTTAGCTAGGTTACGACGAAGCTTCCCGAGAAGCACCGAAGGGCTTGTGCCTCCAGCAGCTGGAAGAAGTGCCCGTAGCCGCTTTCCAAGTACTGTAGCTGCAGTGCCACCCCTAAGCCCGCCAGTAAACAGCAGCGCACAGCCAGTACTTGTTCCCACCTGAAAACAAAACGCAGGGAAAACGCGTTTCGCAACCTGCCCTGAAGGACGCTGCTCCTCCGGAGACAGGCAAACTTTCCGACGCGCACGCTCGGCCTTCCGCTTTCTTCTCGGCTGGAGCCGCCACGTCTTCTCCGAGGCCAAGCAGCGCTCCGGTCTCCACGGCGTACCCGCCAAGGGAGGGGAGCGGCTGAGGCAGCGCCAGCCCTGCGCACCTCTTCCCGCCGGCACGGCACGGCACGGCACGGCCCGACACGGCCGGGCCGGGCCGCAGGGGCCCACTCCTCCCTCCCTCGCCCGGCCCTCTGGGGGCTGAGGGGAGGAGCGCAAACCTCCCAGGAGCTCAAGGGCCTCAGGGAGGCCCGCGGCGACGGGGAAGGGGACACCGGCGCCCTGAGGGAACCGGCTGCCGCCAGCCCCCGCCGTACCTTGTAGTAGAAGACCGCTTCCTGGTAGCGCCCGCTCTGGTCCCGCTGCACTGCCAGCTGCGCGAACTTCACCGCATCCAGCTCCAGCGTGGTTGCGTCCATGGCCAGTTCCCTCCCAGTGCCGGTGCCGCCGCCACCGGCAGCAACGCCCCTCCCAGCCCACCCC